GAGAGAGAGAGAGAGAGAGAGAGAGAGAGAGAGAGAGAGAGAGAGAGAGAGAGAGAGAGATGCTTTGGGTCAAAATTTCAGAGCGTTTTCGTGTATTCAAACGGCTAAGCTTTTAGTGACTGTTGCTGTGTCTGCAACTATGTCTTTTCCCTGTCTGCAAGTGAGTGCAGGCCGGGGCTTCCTCGGTCTGTTGCGGACAGTTGGATTCATTTTTTTCCTCTTTTTCATGTAGCGAGTTTATTCTCTGATTCAACAAGAACAGATGCGTAGAATGCTGGTCGTAGGCGAACTTCGCATGCACTTGGGGCTCGACTCTTTGGATTATATCAAATTCTGGGAATGAAGCGCCCCTGGTAAGCAAGAGGAGCTGAAACATCTATTCCTGGTGGTGGGCCGGCTTTGTGTGCAGTCGTGGACCAACCCTTTCTGTATTGCATTCTGGTAGCAATGCGCTTCCCTCTCTTCTCTTGTGGAGGTAAAAGCTCTCTGCCATTTTCTCACCAGCCTGCAGTGATTTCACAATATGGAAAACTACGGGGAATCATGCGGTGCCAGATTATCCCATGGCGTCGTATGCGGATTCTACTGGCAGTGGCCGCACTGGCCGGTTATCGCTCAGATTTAGAATTTTAGTTGCATCTGCCGACCGTCCCTGGGGAGTATACGGTTATCCATGAGAGATTCAGCGTGCCCCATACACACCGAACCGTTATTTTCTTATTAGATGACTATCAATTATTGGTCGTGAGATGTACATGCAATTCATCGGTACTCAGCTTTTTAAGTCGAGCTACAGCTTGATTGTTGGGGGCAGATTCATTGCAGTTCTTTGACCATTTGGTTAGACTCAGCTTTGTTCGAGGAACAGCTTGATTGTTGGGGGCACAGCTGCAGCACTCTGGTGATTCCTGTACTGGCCCGGTCTGTGCTTGCCAGGTGCAAAGACAAGAAAAGGTTGTCCTGGGTGAGAGGACTTGGTCTGGGAACATTGAGTGGTGTCCGATGACACTGGTAGTTGCTTTCATGGTCTTCGTGACAGGAAATGGTTGCGGTTTGCGATTTGAGCGGCAATTGTTCAGTCAAGCACCGATGCTGCTGCGCAGTGCAGCAGTTTGCGGTTAGGTTCGACAGTACTGTTTCTGTGGATGGTAATTATTTCCACAAGCACGCAGGAGAAAGCAGCGGAGACAGTCTGTCAAAGAAGGGTTGTTGCAGTCTTTGTTATCGATGGAGATTGTCGGCTTTTGTTCAGGCTCAAGATGGCTAGGAGAGAAGGAGGCCTCCTTGGTGAAAGATCAACCAACTGTATCAAGATCGCTCCTTGGTGGGTGAAAGGGTTTCCAGGGCGGATGTCGTTTGAGGTATAAGGCTACAGCCTACCGGTATGGATTTTCAGGAGCTGCATCTGCATGCAGAGTTCGACCTGTTTTCGCTCCTCGTGATTTCTCCACAAGGTCCACTTCTTTCAGTGGCGCTGAGGGAATGATTGTTGTTGCCCAGGGAGTGGCAATCTTGTGATTGTTGTTCCCCAGGGAGTGGCAATCTTGTGATTGTTGTTGCCCAGGGAGTGGCAATCTTGTGCCTCTGTAGGGGAAGGATGACGAGGAAGCTCGATCGATAACTGAGTTCGGAGTTTCATTTTGTTCGATGAGATGTGTGAGTGGAGTTTACGTTGGACGGGATTTTCTTCGGGGGGGGGAGCATAGATGACTGTTGTCCTTGATGAAAGGAGAAGCGACGCAGTGTGTGGTGGAGGGAATATATCCGGTCAAGTTTTGATTTTCACAATAATGGTTCTCGACTCAAGCGGTAGGTTTGGCGGACTTTAGACGCGAAATATCTTTTCTTCCGGCGGTCAGAGTGCTGTTTCTTGGTAATGGCAGCTGGCTTGCCGCAAGCGCAATGTCAAGTGATTACTGTTTCTTCTTCGCCGTGGTTCATTTGTGGCGAGCCCACCGCTGTTTTTGGTGACGATTTCTACAAAAAAATATCATTCTTTTAGGTACTGTGTGGTGATGATTTCTACAACACATCAGTGAGTTACGTTTATTTGCGACATTCTTCTTGCGACGCGCATGTGTGGCCGCCGAGCATCGTGAAATGTGCGGGGGATGGGAAGTCGGTGGAGGGTTGAATTACGGGAGCATCATGTCAAGCAGCGCTTGTTGTACGTCAGCGCGCAGTTCATTGACAGGGGGTATTTGTTACGAGTGGCGGCAAGGATGGCCCGTTTAATTAAAGTCTCAGATGGAATACAAGGTGGTTTGCTTGCTATGGAATAGCAGTAAATCACAAGTCTCAGATCTGCCACCTGTCAGAGAACAGAATATCTTCAATGCCGAACAGAAGACATTCAGTGCCGAACCATCTAGTCGAAGTAACGACATTGATAAGCGGCAGACATGTCTTTCACTTGAAGGGTGTTGACGATTGCCGCATGGTTGATGTCTTCATTCTGGTGGGAGCACGTCTAACGGCAATATCAGTTGAAGAAAAGTCCTACTGGGTGTGAGTATGCCCGGAGTATCTCACCCTTGCAGGACACTTTCTGATCAGATTGAGCTGCAAATGATTTTTGCGATTGAGCGACTGGGCTTGTGGACCGTCAATTCACCATCTCAGGGCGTACTACTCGTGCTGCCAATTGAAGACTCAGATGCCGGACGCACAATTGGACTTGTTACTATGGAGCTATGCCGGCGACTCAAAATGTTGATGTCGCCTGTTTGAGTCATGTTGATTAGTTCTGGGCAAGGTTACGTATTGGGCTGTCAAAACCTGTCGTAATCCGGGTGCTGAGTTTTGTCCTCTCGGGCAGTGCAGAGAATTGGTGTTCGCTGTAAGAGTGGAGGGATAGCGAGCGTCTCAGCACTGTTTCTTGAACGTATAATGTGTCTGGAGCAAGTGTCTTTTCTAGAGATTTCGCTAACTTCATGTTATTGCGATTGCATATAACATGGGGGGACGAAGAGAGGAGTGCTTGGGATTTGTGATGGCGGTATGTGCCCGCTCCTCCTCTTCTCTCGTCTGTGGAAGGGCCCGTGCTCAGCACTGTTTCTTGAACGTATAATGTGTCTGGAGCAAGTGTCTTTTCTAGAGATTTCGTTAACTTCATGTTATTGCGATTACATATAACATGGGACGAAGAGAGGAGTGCTTGGGATTTGTGATGGTGGTATGTGCCCGCTCCTCCTCTTCTCTCGTCTGTGGAAGGGCCCGTGTCTTGGTCTCAGGAACAGTAGTAGGCCGGGTGACCCTGGGAGGATGGCTTCTTCATAGTGCATTGGAGACTGGGTTCCTGCACTGCGATTCCCATTTTATTTTGGCTATTTGGGGAGATCGGTGGTTGTTCGTGAGTATATTATCTCCACCTTTCGGGCACCCGATACTCATGATGTGTGCACACCATTTATTGTAAATGGCGCCATGATACTGCTGATGAGGTTGATTGTCCAACACAACAAGGAGTTCGATTCTGTGTCGTAACCAACTATGCCTGCACTAAAAAGCAGTACTTGAGATCCTTCTGCGGTCCTCTGCAGGCCTGCGAATATTTTTTTCCGTGCAGGAAGTTAACTCGGTGCAGACTTGGTCTGTACATTCCTGACAGACGCGTGAACGAGCAAACGTTGCTCGAGAACCAGCGCTTCATGGTGGCTTTCTGAGAGAGCATGAAGTTAGGGTCTGCAACACTCTGGCTACAGTACATGTGCACTGGAGCTAGACGAGTCCTCTCAGCTCCTCTCTGCAATTTTTCGAACGCCCAGATGGAAGATGACGTTTGTGTCGTTAACTACTGCAGCAGGAAACGATTGCGACAACATTCTGTGCTGATGACAGATTTTTCACTTGACTACTGTTGGGTCACACTGTGGACTGATATTTTGAGAGCATGTTCACACTTGCACATTACTAGATGTACCCGACTGGACTACAAATATGAGTATGCCCTGAGAGTGTGCAAGTAGCAGACACATACATGTGTGGACTTCTGTTTCAGCAGAAACACATTTGGAGCAGCGACGAGGGGTCGGGCTTCACGATGCTGCTGATTACAAGTCATCAATTCTGTGTTTCTTATCTAATTAGCAGTGGAGAAGCAAGACGTGGAAGACCGACCCCATCAAAGGATCGAAGAGAAGGTGCCAAGTAGCAGACACATGCATGCGTGGACTTTCCGTTTCCGCAGAGAACAGGGTTGGAGCAGCGGCGAGGTGCCGGGCTTCGTGATGCTGACGACAAGTCGTAACTGCTGTGTTTCTTATCTATTTAGCAGTGGAGAAGCAAGACGTGGAAGATCGACCCTATCGAAGGATCGGAGAGAAGGTGCTGACCCGAAGTTCCAAATCTTAATTGTGCGGGGATCACGGCCTTGTAAGATGAGGAATACAAGGAACAGGCAGAGGAGGAAGGAGAGGAGAGCGAGGAGGAGAGCGAGGAGGAGAGCATGCAACTGCGATGTAGCCTCCAACTCCGGCTCCATTTCAGAAAGGTAAGGCTATGCGTGTGTGAGATTCCACGAGGTCGGACACAATTGTGAACCAGTGTTTGTTTTCAGCATAGTTTTCTGACTGGTTTGTACACAGCAGAAGAAGCGCCGATTCATCGGGAGAGTATGAAGCCCCCACCAGAAGTCGTGGGTTCGAATCCCGGTTTTGCCTGGAGGTATGGCTTGTGCATCTCTTTCCTTCTCAGTTGGCAAGCTGTTACTGAGGAAGGATGAGTGTTGGGATATTCCTCTTTCCTCAAACTTGAGAGCGCACGGTCGCTAAAGATGAGCAAGACATGCAAAGGAGCGACTGCGATAGAACCGGGTCTAGTCTGGGTGTATGACAATCATGAGCGGCTGAGCGCGGGCCTTCATTCGTTGCCGGGAGAGCACATACGGGTACCTTGATTAGCCCAATCGCTGAGGCCCTCACTGGTGGGACCAAGAGTACGGGGGGAATCTTCAGAGCATGTTCAAAGAGGAGGCACCACACTGTGAGTTGGCTGTCTTATATGTGCTTGTACTCCTGTGTGAGTCGGTATGACCAATTTGTTCAGCAAATTGCAAGCATAGTGTGTGACGTACTGTCGTTGCTGCTACTGCTGTTTCCGCTAATGCGGCTGCTGCTGCTGCTGCTGCTGCTGCTGCCCATGTGCAATCGATAAGCGTGAATGTAGTTGCTGCTATTGCCTAATAGAGGGACATCGAATGGATTCAAACTGCGTCTCTGCCTCTGATGCATCTTGAAAGGTACTCTTTTTGCTGAACTACCTTCCTCGTGCTCATGTCTGTTGTGCAAGTTCTCTTTTTTTTTTTTTTTTTTTTTCCCCGGAAAATCTGTTTTCCCCTTGTATATCGGGGGCAGCTGTATTCACTACCCTATTTTCTTCTCTCTATATGTTTTCCACCTCACACTGACTGCCACCACGCATTGCTATCACGCTAACTGCCACTGGAGGGGAATTGCTAGAGGAGGGAACCCACCTATATCTATCTACTCTAGTCTGTGCGGGGAGTAGCAGTTCCCAGGCTTCTAACCCCTAGCGAGGGGTGGCCGGATTCCAGACTCCTGCCAAGACCAGCCAGGGGGTGGGGGGGCGAGCGAAATATCTCAGCCGCTGAACTGTTCACGGAGAGAGCCAGGAGGGGGGGGGGGGGGGGG